TTTTCTTTTTTTCTTACACTGGTTTGGAAGTCATATGCTCTATTACTATTCTTATAGTGCTCACCCGTAACATTTTACCATGCTGATTTAATTTAGTAAAGCCTAAATTGATCTAGGTTTTACTTTCTCTTCTTAATAACACATGAACTTTATTGTTAATATTATAATATCATTATTGTTTTGTTATTTTTATTTTTACAAGCATTTTTGTTTTATTTCTGCAAGCATTTCATTTATTTATCTGCACAAATATTTGTATATACTTGCATGTTTACCAAATTGTTTGCTTGCTATTTCTTCCCTTTCAGATCTTCTGTCCCTAAAATACATCCTTATTAGTTTCTGTAGGAGAGAAACTAGTAAGTTTAGTTGGAACATTAATATTTGTTCTTGTTTCTTTTCTTCCTTTTTTTTTTCTATTTTTTTGAGATGGAGTCTTGCTCTGTTGCCCAGGCTGGAGTGCAGTGTCACAATCTTGGCTCACTGCAACCTCTGCCTCCCAGGTTCAGGCAATTCTCCTGCCTCAGCCTTCCAAGTAGCTGGGGCTACAGGTGTCCACCACCACATCTGGCTAATTTTTGTATTTTTAGTGGAGATATGGTTTCACCATGTTTACCAGGCTGGTGTCGAACTCCTGACCTCAAGTAATCTGTCTGCCTTGGCCTCCCAAGGTGCTAGGATTACAGATATGGGCCACTGTGCCCAGCCTTGTTCTTGTTTTGAGAGAGATTTTTGATAATTCCAGAGTAATATTATTTTCTATTAGCTCTTTGAAGAAATTTCACCCCTGTGATTTGTTTGCTCTGTGATGTTGTTCAAGTGTTTTAGAGATAATATAGTCATCTTATGAGTGATAGTGAGGATCAAATATATATAAAGTGCTTATTAGTGTTTCTAACACATATTTATCTCTGTATAAATAAATAACCTTATTTTTCTTTTTTCTCTCTTTCTTTAATTCTTATTCCTGCCAATGCTGCCCAGCAATTCACTAAAATGCATCTAAGTAAAAATTTCTTTTTATTTACACCACTGTTTATCCTGTTAAGTATATATTTTTCTTTCCAAATAATGTGGTTCTAGGTCTTAAATTTTCTAATTTCTGTACATTCTCAAACCTTAATTATTTGAATGTTACATCTATCTCTTTATTTCCATTCTCTTCTGGAATTTTGATTAGGTCAATAGACTTTTTTTTTATTGTATCCTTTACATTTTTAAACATTTATACTGTGTTCAGTTCCTCATCTGTCTCTAGCTGGGATAATTTTTTCAAATATGTACTTTATTTATTTATTTTTATTTTTTATTTCCATAGGTTTTTGGGGAACAGGTGATGTTTGGTAACATGAATAAGGTCTTTAGTGGTGATTTCTGAGATTCTGGTGCACCCATCACCCGAGCAGTACACACTTTACCCAATCTGTAGTCTTTTACTCCTCACCCCCCTTCTACCCTTTCCTCCAAGTCCCCAAAGTCCGTTGTATCATTCTTATGCCTTTGCAGCCTCATAGCTTAACTCCCACCTATGAGTGAGAACATACAATGTTTGTTTTTTCATTTGTTTCCAGATTTATTTCCCAATTCATTTACTCTGAATTTTGCTGTTTCTTATAAGCTTTTTAACCCATCCATTGATTTCTTAATTTCAATAATTTTATTTTTAAAACGTATAAATATATATTTTTTCAGATTTGCAGATTCACGTTATAACCTTATGTGGTTTGTTCTTTTTATTGTATCTGTGATTTCCTTATATGCTTACAGTTATATTTTGTACCCTTTAATTATAACAACTAGTGTCCTTCAGGGTATATGTATTTGTTAAATGTATTAGCTCATCCTCAGTCATGGCTTCTTATTTCCGATTATGTGTTTGAGAATAATTTTGTAAGCTCATACTTGGTTGAATTTTATTTGCAGAATTTCGAGTAGCTAATTTCTAATAACTTGGGCTGTATACCAACAGCGTGGATCCACATTATTAGTCAGCTCAGGTTGCCATAACAAAATAACAGAGACTGGGTAGCTCGAATAACAGAAATTAATTTCTCACAGTCTTGGAGGCTAGAAGTCTAAGATCAGAGTGCCAGCCTGATCAGGTTCTGGTGGGGCCCCCCTTCTTGACTTGTAAATGGCTGCCTTCTTGCTGTGTCCTCACAGTACAGGGAGAGAGTTACCTCCAGTCTCTTCCACTTATTATAAAGGCCCTAATCCCATTATGGGGTCCCCATGCTCATGAGCTTGTCTAAACCTAGTTATTTCCCAGAGGCCCTGACTCCATATACTGCCACGTTGGAATTAGGGCATCAACGTATGGATCTGGGGAAGGGGTTGCACAAACAATCTATAACATTCACTTTTGCTCTTTTCAAGAGCTTTGGTTCCTTCTATTTGTGTGGAGCCCAGGGAAACTCTGATCTTTTGCATCTCTTAAAACACACCTTTTTTGTTTTAGTGTACCATTCTTTTTCTCTCTCTTGATTTCTCTCGGCCCTGAGAAATGGCCTTTATTTTTTCATGAACCAAAGGTATACAGTTTTCCATATTTCAGGCCATGTCTTTCGAAAAGTAAAACCATTTTGAAAGAATATTCAGAAATTTATATTTGATATATTTTAGGTTTAGTATATGAGCTCTAATCTCAATATATTAAAAACTTATGGGAATATTGTTTATATTTATTGTTGACTAAAAATCATTTATGGCACTCACAAAGAAATAATACTGCTTCATTCTAGTTGTAATTATTCCAGTGTGATTTTTTTTTTTTTTTTGCCTGGCACATGGTTTAAAGCACAAGAGCATATAAAACTTATATGAGACAGTTTTTCAACAACAGGCAGAAACATACCACAATAATTTTTATCCTGTGCTAATATTTTGGTCCATAATAACATGACACCCACTGGAAAGATAGATTTGAGAAAGATGCATGCTTAAATAATTTTTAAATTTTTTTACATGTATGTTTTTAGATAAATGTATTGTTCAGTCTTTAATATTAAAAACTAAAATTCTGAATGACAAACATATGTGCAAACAATTGTGGCAAAACCAGTTTTTATTGATGAAGGGACTAGCTGCCATTTGGTGATTTTTCAGCTAGTCAAATTTGAATAATCAACTGGATCTCCTCTCCAGCTGATTATTTTTTTTTTTTGAGACAGGATCTTTCTGGATCTTTTTTTTGAGACAGAGTCTCATTCTGTCCCCCAGGCTAGAGTGCAGTGGCGTGATCTCAGCCCACTGCAAACTCTGCCTTCCGGGTTCAAGTGATTTTCTGCCTCAGCTTCCCTAATAACTGGGATTACAGGCATGTGCCACCACGCCAGCTAATGTTTTGTATTTTTAGTAGAGATGGGGTTTCACCATGTTAGCCAGGATGATCTCTATCTCCTGACCTCATGATCTGCCCGCCTTGGCCTCCCAAAGGGCTGGGGTTACAGGCGTGAACTGCTGTGCCCGGCCCCTTGGATATTCTTTTCTAACTCAAATGAGAATATCTGCACTATATAATCCACCTTCTCTCCAGAAACTTCAAGCTCTTCCTCTCTCATGGTGACTGTTTCTCTGCTGCAGATAAAAATTACATTTCCCTCTTAACTGAAAAATACCCAAGCCTATGAGCAAGAAAACAAATTTTTTTTTTTGATCCTATTATTCCCTTTGTCAGAGATGCCAGGAACTCTTTCTTCTTCATTTGTAGCGTAATTTCAGTCATGCATGCATGCATTTATATATTTACTTACTCTAAAGCATTTACTAAGCACTTTAATTGGTCAGTCATAAGGCTTGATGCTGTAGAAACAGAGATGAAACGCAGTTCTCCATCGTAAAACAGTCTGGCAGGGAGGAGGAGGATAAATAAGTGGTTTATTACAATTTGATGAGAGAAAGTACCTAAGAGAACACATTTAAAAAGCATGCATTGCAGAAGGATGTGTAGAAGATGATGGAAGTAAAATTTTCTTGCAGCTGATGTTACACACACACACACACACACACACACAACCAACTAGATGTTTCTGTTAGTATCATTGAAAACTACTCATTTCTTTTTTTATTTTTTATTTTTTAAGACTGATTCTTACTCTGTCACCCAGGCTGCAGTGCAGTGGTGCGATCTCAGCTCACTGAAACCTGTGTCCCCTGGGTTCAAGCGACTCTCCTGCCCCAGCCTCCCCAGTAGCTGGGATTACAGGCACGTGCCACCATGCCCGGCTAGTTTTTGTATTTTTAGTAGAGATGGGGTTTCATCTTGTTGACCAGGTTGTTCTACAACTCCTGACTTCAAGAGATTCGCTGGCCTTGGCCACCCAAAGTGCTGGGATTACAGGTGTGAACCACCACGTCCGAGCCTGACACCTACCCATTTCTTAAACTAGCTTTTGTGTCCACCACTTGAAAGCCACTGCTTTGAGGTCTACTAATTACCAAAATGCAAAATTGAATGAGTCATGCCCTTAAACATCTCTTTGATCTCTCATGATCTAAATCAAAGATCTCTCATTCCTGATTCACTTCTTCCTTCATCCAAACTTCACTCCTGAAGCACTTAATTAATCTAAACATAAGCAATGCTGACTTACTATTTCATATTGTATTATGTTTTTGAAACTGATTTAGCACATCTCTAAATTTTTATTGTTCTGAGGTGCGATTATCCACAGAGCCTAATATATACAACGCTGAACCAAACAAACACGTGGTAATGAAAACACTAATTTAGTGAATTAATCTAGAAGAATCTAGAAGAATTAATCTAGAAACTGCACAGCAGCAGTTTCTCTCTTCAGCTTGAATTACTAAGCAAGTCAAGTTAGCAATTGTGTAGACCCAAATAAGATAATAATATTTAGTCATTTAGATATGCCACTACAAGCAGAAATAAATCAGATACATACACATACACACAAATTACTCATAGAATGCAGTATTCATAAAACTTAATTATGTTACTTTTTAAACAAACTGTGTTTTTATGTTTTTGCAAATAGTGGCAACAAATTGGCTACTTCAAGTGGTGACACTACAGTTAAATTATGGGATCTATGTAAAGGCGATTGCATTTTGACCTTTGAAGGACACAGTCACGCAGTATGGTCCTGCACGTGGCACTCCTGCGGCAATTTTGTGGCTTCCTCCTCACTGGATAAAACTAGCAAAATCTGGGATGTTAATAGGTAAGCAGTACTTTAAACATTACTAATCCTCTGTGTTGATACATACACATAGGTAAAGTTCTTTTTTTTTTTTTTTCTCGATGCTACCCCTGGGAAACATTAAAAGAAACTGTTAGTTGATAAGATTATAGAGAGTTACTTAAATAATCTTTGTGAAATCCATTTCTAACTCCATTAATCTTTGTTGATATAATAATTTCTTTCTAAATATAAGTATCAAGATCAAGCCTGTGTAATAAGATTAGAATTGCTTCATTGGAAAGCTGTTTGTTTTAAGCAGGATAGAAACAAATACTTCTTTTAAAGAGTTGGATTTTTAGTTCTGCTTTCCACGGGCTTGTTGTCGCCCTGTACTGTTAAATTTAATAGTTTAACGAACATAAATCTAACAGAACTAATTATTTTCTTTATGCTTAATTTGTTATGTTGTGATATGCTTGATTAAATGTTTCTTGTTAATTCATAAATTGTAGGAAATAGTACATTGTATTGTATGTAAAATCCTATACATATGTGGATTTGGAAGTGTTATGTTTTGATTTTAATTCAAGATAGACAAAGTCATTATGTTTAAAATATTGAAATTACTATCACCCATATATTTTGGGTATTCATTACATTCTGTTAGTTTTGCAAATGTGATACAAAGAGGTAAATGTAGCTACTATCAAATATGCTAACTCCTTCAGCTAAGGGGTTTTATATCATCCATCGAACTTTCTCAGTAGTCTGTGGTCCCAGCTCTGGAAGGGCCTCCATCCAATCAGAGGAACACCCATAACAGCAGAGAAGTGCCCCCTCCTCAGAGGACTGAGGTTCCATTTTGAAGGTCCCTCCTTCAAGGGTCTACCTTATTCCCTGTGTTCGCTCAGTCCTAGGGGTGGTAGCTCTTTCTTGAAGTTGTTATCTCCATGATAACTTTAATGTTCTCTTTTGCCTTTTTTAGTTACTTAGTTAGAAACTTTATTCAGTTTTTACCATCCTGTATGTGAAATTATTATTGTTACAATGATAGGTGCAAGTTCCGTTTCCTGATAAGTCCTTGAAAGATCTAGGGCATTAGTGGATAAGTAGCATAATCCACCTGAGTCATAAAGCTATAGCTAAATAAAATTAGCATGCTCCATAGGAGAAAACGTGATTGTGAACAACATATTTTAGACCTGTGTCTATCTGAAATAGTGACAATTTCAGATAGCTTTTAATTCTCAGATGGGTACTTACTGTTTATCTGGAATGTCTAATCATGTATAATTCTTTATTATATTTCTATAAGATGTGACTGGATTTCGTAAATATTATAATAGATCAATGGAATTTTAACACTAGTATTTAATTTGAATTTTGTATCACTTTTGACTTGGTTGAGGATCTTAATAGAAAACAGTGATCTGTTCTAAAATGTGATATGTCTTTAGAACTCTTAACTACTCAGGGTGTTTAAAAGCAAACTATGGTTAAAAAACTAATACTCAGTAGTCTCAGCTCTACTTGGAATGATTTCAAACACTTTGACTTGACAACTTTTCTTTATGACCCTGGTATCTAAATAATGACTTCCCATTGGTACCCAGTAAATCTTGATATAACAGATCAAAATTGCTTCTGATTGATGCCAAAATTCTTTAAACTTCAAGTTTCCCATCACTGTCAAGAGTTCACTTTCATCATCAAGGACAAAAGAAAAAAGTTGTACTAATTTTGGCATTGAGGCAGTGGATAAGTATTGACAAATAAAGTAGAAATTGATTGTTTCTATAGTGGCTATTGATATGCCTTTCAGAGTCACAAAGTACCAAGCTCTAATTTATAATTACTCTCAGATCAATACTATATAGATATGTCTAAAACTAGTGTCTTTCTTCAAAATTTAATAGATTATTTGAACTGGCTTTGTTACTTAAGGCAAGAGATTATTTGCCTTGATAAGATGGATGGTGGTGGAGCTATGCTATGCTGTGTCATATATTCTTGGCTTGATAGTGCATATATATATATATGTTTCAGAATTGGACAATACTTGGTAAGAACATCCATTTAGTTCCTCACCAAAAAGTTGGATCACTGTGGAACATCAACAATACAAAAAATTTCATATCAAGATTCATATTTACTGAGTGTCAATCAGAATCTATGAACAATTATCTATGACACTCAATCTGAATAATTCCATATATATATTCCATATATATATAATTCCATATATATTCCATATATATAATTCCATATATATACTCCATATATATATACACACACACACACAAACACATACACACACACACACACCAAGTCTTACTCTGTCACCTAGGCTAGAGTGCAGTGGCGCAATCTCAGTTCACTGCAACCTCTGCTTCCTGGGTTCAAGCAATTCTCCTGCCTCAGCCTCCCGAGTTGCTGGGACTACAAGCACGCACCACCACACCCGGATAATTTTTGTATTTTTAGTAGAGATGTGGTTTCACCATGTTGGTCAGGCTGCTCACAAACTTCTGAGCTCAGGTGATCCGCCCACCTCAGCCTCCCAAAGTGCTGGAGTTGCAGGCATGAACTACTGCACCTGGCCATGCTGCACAGTTCTTAATAAATAACAAATTTATATTGGTAGACAGTATTAGTCACCAGAGAAGAAAGAGTTTAGAATACATTCTTCTCTTTTCACACCCATCCTTTCCTTCAAGCTTCTGGCTCAGTCTTGAACAGCCTTGATTGGTATTCTATCTCTATCCCTGCAACTGTTTCAGAATTGGACAATACTTGGTAAGACCATCCATTTAGTTCCTAACCAAAAAGTTGTATCACTGTGAAGCATCAACAATATAAAACATTTCAGATCAAGATTCATATTTACTAAGTGCTAATCAGAATCTGTGAACAATTATCTATGACACTTAGTCTAAATAATTCTGTACTCTACAAGGTTTCTGTGAATAATTAATAGTAGCTTTATTATTATCTTCTGAATGATCAGATATATAAATTGTTACGTATTTCACTTAGTGGTCATTTGAAAACATACACACCAGTGTAACCCAAGCAGAGAGTGCATGGCACATGGTGGTTTACTCACATAAATGAATAAAGAGTGAATCAACAAGTAAATACGGCGAAAGTATTCTAAATATTCTCCCTGTCCCATCCACATTCAAACTATAATATAATTACGCTGTCTTATCCTACACAAATCAATAAAATGATGAAAATGGGACAGAAAAATCAGAAAATATCTCAGCTATAAAAAATAATTTGTATTTCTTTAGAGGCATTTAGAGGCATTTGTGCATAACATTAATCAATAAGTATTCATGAAATGACTTAACAGTGTTGGCCTGTGTTATAGACGTAAGACAATTCTCATACTCAACCATTGCCTTCAATGAGATTACAAGTAACTTAAAATGCAGCAATTTTGAAGCAATAAGGGAATATGCAAAGCATCTACCATTTATATTTATAATATCAGATCAGGTATTCTAGTTGACTCCTGGCTGCTTTTCTTCCAAGGTAGCTGGGTATTCGGCTGAGCAGTTATATCACACTGTTACTCTGATATTTGGAAGGCAGACCATGTGCCTGCTTTGCTTGTAACTTGAAGGAGAAGGGGTTGGAAACAGTCAAAATGTTACTGAATGTAGCTCTTCCAGCTGTTTTAACAAGGTGTTACACAGGCAAGAATTGGGTGGTTTGTATCAAGGACAGTAGGAAACAGACGGACTTGTAAAATTCAGCAGCTTCTTGACACCAAATGTTGGGAGATAAATCTGTGGTCCTTATTTCTAAGTGCATTGTGTCTGATGCTCTTGCAATTACATGGGAAGAAGAAAATAAAGAATGTTTAAGAACTATATTTACTTTAATTTGTGGTTACTGTGGCATTGCATTGCCTGGAAGCAACTGTATTAGAAACCTATCAATTTTTGAGAGAATTGGATTGACAAGGAAACTATGAGCCTATCCTTGAAACCCCCTGACTCTTCAAACAGTGAAACAGTCCTCAGCGCCCCAAACTTGCATCCAAAAAAAGTGGACTTGCATTTTTGCACAGTTCAGAAGGCAGGCAGAGACCATAGCACCTATCTCAATATGGCCACAGAGGATAATGAACAAGAAGGAACCTACAATGGAACTAAGCCAGAAGCCACAAAGAACAATGGGGAAAGGTGCTCCTCTGGGAGACAACCATGGTCCAGTCAAGGAACTTTCCTCACTACCATGGCAAAGTTCCTCATGATGCCTGCCTAGTTTTTCACTATTTGGACTAGTGATGCTTGTATGTTTCCCATGTTTCTATTTTCTGTATTACAGTTTATACCGTAGTTATTCTGTCCTTACTTCACAATGGTACATCGTGTTCATGGTGGCGATGGTGGTGAGAAGCAAAAAACTTGTATTTTATTTCGTTGGTTACTGTATAATGCAAGTGACACTGTTGAACCAAATGATGCAGATTGTGTGTCAGCCACAGATCATGAACTGTGAGACAGGCAGTAACTGAAGAAGAGATCTGGGGATGTTTCTTTTTTTGCTTGTGGAGGGAAGAAAGTCAGTGAACATTCTATATGTGGAAGAAAGGATGACACAGCCAAACTGTGGCAGAGACTGTTAGCTTTTCACTAGAATCCACTTTCTCCTTCTTCCATGTTAGTTGGGCACTTGGCTGTATATCTAAATGATATTTCTTGGCCTCAATTAGTTAAGTATGTCTATGTCACTAAGTACTGTACAATAGAATATACGTTAAAGTAGCAGGCACTGTATCGTTATTCTTCCTGCCTTGTGGTGGAATGGAATACCAATGACAATGAGCACAATAATCTTAGAAGCCTATTATTGAAAATGACAGAACAATTGTCAAGCTGCTTGAAGTAAAGCCACCCCTGTTTTGTAACTCCAGTTAGCCTGCAACATTCTCTGGACTCTCCAGCAATAAGAAAATACATTTCTAGCCTGGGTGGGGTGGTTCACGCCTGTAATCCCAGCACTTTGGGAGGCCAAGGCAGGCC